TCTTCGAGCCACTGAAGAAGCCGGAAAGCTTACCGGCGCCTTTCACTGGGGACTTTGCCTACAGGTGTTTTTGATGTTTGTTGAATTCAGATAAACTAAATATAAATCAGACAAAGAGCTAAGAACTAAATTCACTCTATCCCTGCCGCCGTACTCGCTCTGTATGAGATGTGGAGACACTATAAGTTAAAAATACATTGGTTAATAGTCAAAAATGAATGTATGACAGTCTATAAATGTTAAAAAAAATTGGCCAATGCAAGGACTGCCCGTGCGAAGATGCCGTACACGCATGTAGGTTAAGTTCCCCAAGTTTCAGCCCCGTAGCTTTTGTAGGTCTCGAGATAAAAAATCGGTACAGACACGCAGCTCATACACAGACAGACAACGTCTCGTCAGTAGGCGTTTTCTGCATTGCAGAGCTGCAAAAAACGCATAAAAAGTAGGAGAAAAACAAGAGCTAAGAGAAAGAATAGTTGCTTCGACCAGTTTTGCATCCATTGATGGACCGTCTGCTTGCGAACGTTTGGTGTGTTGGAGAGATTAGCAGCCAAGCGGTTCCTCCCCAATAGATTTACATGGCGCCGCTTAGCCGCTTCAACATGTCTCTAATTTTTCTTTTTTTCGGATATAATCTTTATTTCCAGGATGAAACAATGCGTATGCGATTTTTCAAATTATTCAATGCGCGAATAGCAAAGAAAATTTACGAGCGTTTATATCACATATTGGCGCTGGAGGACTGGGCCCAATTCCAGCATCATTTTTTCATTAAGCACTGCATTAATGTAAGCTTTTTTTGAACACATATATTTTGCGTTGTAGATAAATTAATTGCCATTCAGGTCAGCGTACTGGTGATCCTAACTTCGTGTAGTTTTCTGTAGAGTAATAATTGTCTTAGTGGAATCGCGTAACAGGGCTTTAGCCGCATCGAAATGTCCTCAATGTATGTTGAGCATCACTGCTTCATTCAGAATGCTGCCACTTCGAAACCACGATAAGCAGACTTACCGACAATAAAGATTTTTTACAACATAGGGAAGTAAATTTGTATTTTTTTTTCCCGACGTAAAATTTATTCTGAAACTTGCAGTTTTATTTTTTAGCAGTTCTATTTTGCATTGTAAATATAAGAAATTTCGTAAAAGAGCCGGGAAAATTAGTGTTTTCATTCTGGCAATTTTGGGCCCGATAACTAACAAACGTTTTATTTGTACGTTCACAAAAAAAAAAAATTAAGAGCATACATTATATGCAAAATATAAAAACACGAGTCCAACGATGACTACGACGGGGATACGATGGCTGTGGCGATGATTGGCTCTGCCGCGCAACTGGTGATCCTCCAATACAGTACCCGTCCCAAGTATTCTCCCTGCCATATATAGGCATATCGTCTGAGGTGGGGGGGAGGTAGATGGCTACCCGCTCCGATTCCTTGCGCCATCGAACACTCAAGTAATGTCGAATTTATTGCCGCAGAGATCACGTTTTTTTAAAAGACTTTTTGGGCGCAAAACACGATTTAAGGCTTTTTGGTTTGTTCACAGAATTCCTTTGGTCACTCCCTATGTCCCGGCAAATTTTTTGGAGGATTATTTACGTTTCGACAGTACTAAGCATCAATATTTTCCTCATGCATTCTTTAAAAATTTAAAATTTCAAACTTTTAAGTGTCCGTAAAGTTGCGGCAAACATTGATACTCCTGCTGAATCTAGCTGAGTAGAATGTATGAATAGTACTTAAGGATAAGCAAAAATGCGATTAGAAAAAGTAAAAAGAAGTAATAATGTAAATGAAAAGATTGAAAAAGTGAAACCGTAGAAAGGTTTGCCAAGGAAACCGTAGAAAGGTTTGCCTCGAATCACAGGCAGAAAGAAAAGGCAACACAGTTCGGTTTAGAAGAGTGCGTCATGACTGTGCAAGTTGTACCACATGCATCCCAGTAATAGATGAGATTTACATCCGCCCTATCTGATAGGTAATATCCGTGCATTTCAGCTGTTGTTGTGGTCAGTTATTGAGGAGAATAAGGAGAAAAAAAGCAACGAAGTGATCCAAACAGTGCTGCTGAACTGTGCCACATTTTGGCGCACATATGAGACGGTTTTTGACCTGGAAACGTTGCGTCGAAATCATCCAGGTGCAAATGATAACGATGATCAGGTGCTGTGGGACCAAGATATGGATGAAACTAAACGAAGCATTTCATCGGAGATTTCTGGGGATCAGCTGAGTCAGCCGCTAAAAGGTATCCAGACTTTGCATTGCCTAAAATATGTCAGTTCCGTTCTGATGTCGAACCCAGGCTGCAACGCACCAAGCTCGCGGGTGCAGTTGTACGTTTTTGCGTTAAGCTTGCAGATCGCTAAAAGCAGAATGGTTTCTGCGCTGCACTTTAACACTTAGACTCACACTGGCTGTGTTTTGGCCCTTTTCCCGCATGCAAGGGGAGGAGCGTCGGCTGGGATGAAGATATTGCATTATGGGGCCGCATGGACCTCGAACGTGCATGATCATCACTTTTTTGCATGAAGCCCGATCGTTTTTCCGGTGAATTGTCGTTCAATAAAAAAAAATGCAAATTTGAAGGAACTCCAAAGAGGATTACAAAATCTCCAAAACGCACTCGGTGTAGCATAATCGCACGGCAAAAACAGATAAAAAGTTGGATCTGTTTTGAAAGAAACGAATGAAATGTTAAGTGCAGCACCGGCCTGGAAGTGATGTAACGACTTATGGGCAAACCAGAGTTGCGCAGCTGAGAAAAGGAAGATCTGTAGATGTGTGTGTGTGTGTTTGTGAATAGGCAATAGGTCCTAACTGGTGGGATATGCAACTCATGATCGAAAGGCCTGATATAGCTGCTGTGGCGTTTGTTAACTTTTCAGTAGAACACTAGATAGCAACATGCCGGCTGTTGGCGCATTTCCGATTTTCCAAGGTTCTACACACATACACACACACACACACACACACACACTGATTGTTCGGCTTTAGTTTTTTTTTCTGTTTCAGAAATGACTATTGGAATCACTGACCAAACGAGTGCAAAGGATTTGCAAATCGCCTTGATTGCCGGGCAGCAAGTACAGCTATTCGAAATGGCAGCCAAGTTTTGCGTCACAGATATTTTGCCGAGTTTCATCGAACTTGTCCATAACAGTATGTTCATAGTATTCCACCTCATATAGTGGAAAGTGGAGGAGGGACAAAGAAGCGGGGGGATAAAAAAGATGGATACTCAGCTGACCATTATTTGCACAAGCAAATGACCAAAGGCATGGCCATTCGGGGGTCGTTCATGTGCTTTTCACATGAGTATGTAATTGCCAATTGATAATTATTGTGTATATGGCTTAATGGACCGAAACGTCTTATCTCGCTCTTACCTTCTTTTCTCATACTGTTCTTTCATGCTATAATCTATCGCGGCTTCGCAATTTAGG